CTTTTCCAGATGCCTGTAATCCAGGGGTGTGCAAACTTTTTGGCCTGAGGGCCACATCGGGGTTCTGAAACAGTATGGAGGGCTCGGTAGGGAAGGTTCTGCCTCCCCTAACAGCCTGGCCCCCACGCCCTCCCACTTCCCGCCCCCTGACTACCCCCCTCAGAATTCCCCACCCATCCAACCCCCTCTGCTCCTTGTCCCCTGACCGCCCCCTCCCAGGACCCCCCCAACCTCTATCCAACCCCCCCCTGCTCCCAGTCCCCTGACTGCCCCGCCATCCACCAGCCTGCCCCCTGACAGGCCCCCCATACCTATCCAACCCTCCCTGTTCCCCACCCCTGACCGCCCTCCACAAACCTCCGGCCCATCCAACCACCCCCTGCTCCCTGTCCCCTGCCTGCCCCCCTCCGCCCCCTTATTCAACACCCCCACTCTCCGCCGCCCTACCATGCCACTCAGAGCACCAGGACTGGCAGCCGCACCAGCTGGCCGGAGCCAGCCACACAGTCTGGTGCACCAGGGCAGGCTGGTGGCTCTCACAGCTGCCTGCCTGGCAGGAGCTCAGAGCCCTGCCACCCAGAGTGCTGATGGCACGGCGAGCTGAGGCTGCGTGGGAGAGGGGACGACAGGGAAGGGGCCGGGGCTAGCCTCCCCTGCTGGGAGTTCAAGGGCCGGTCAGAAGGGTCCCACGGGCCGCAGTTTGCCCACCTCTGCTGTAATCTCATCCTTTGTTCTAACTGCATTATATCCACTAAACTAATCTGAATTAGGCCTGGTCAGTACTTGGATGAGTGACCTCTAGAGAAAATGCAGTTGCAGGAAGTGGTGTGGGTGATTCCATGGGAATCTTCTGGTTGAGTCAGCAGCGTATGTGTGCTAGTGTAGATGGAGGGGTTTGGATGAGATGTAAAATAGAGCCCCCACCTATTAAAGATCCCATGACACATTTTGCAAGAGCAAAAGTGTTACCCTGGTTTCCTGGCCATATTCCAATCATGGTAATTACATCCATTACATGGATGTCTAAAATTCCCTATGTAATTTTAGATGCATAAGATATTCCTCACTTCCTCTTCCAAGTAATTGTATTTCTGAGTGCTGTAACACAGGTGCTGCATTTTCAGTGGTGGGAGACCTGGTTCCTTGCCAAAGTGAGGCACTTGTATTCTTTTGTCTTTACTGGAATAATTAAGGATTGTGGTGGAAGTCTATCTTGCTAGTATAAGATGAATTATTAAAAGAAAGAGAATCTTTCTCGGATTGTTTTATTTTTGTGCAACAATAAAACAGATACTAGGAAAAAGGTATAGGCTTAGAAAACCAAAAAACAGTGGGGTGGGAGGAGGTATTGTTTCATATTCTCTGTGTGTATATAAAGTCTGCTGCAGTTTCCACGGTAAACATCTGATGAAGTGAGCTGTAGCTCACGAAAGCTCATGCTCAAATAAATTGGTTAGTCTCTAAGGTGCCACAAGTACTCCTTTTCTTTTTGCGAATACAGACTAGCACGGCTGTTCCTCTGAAACCTGTCAAAAAATACTTGTTCATGATATTGTACTATCTCACAGATGGTTTGAACTGTGTAAGCATTAATCCAGTATGTAATGAATGAGCCCCAGACTAGAAGCCATTTTTAATTTTTAAAAAAGCCTGTATTGTATTTCAGTTGATTGGTGAATTGTTCCCTTAGAAGATGGTTATTGTTTGATGATCTGTTAGTCTAAGGTGTGAGGGAAGAGGAGAGTCTATGTATTCTTAGTCAGCACAGCAAAAACAGAACACATTTCCTCTTACATTTTTAAAGTTCTGTGTTCAAGTTTATTCCAAGTAGCACTGGTTTGTCATTGCCTTCACTTAGAACAGTATTGGCCCCTCAGCAAGGAGATGGTGGATAACGGGGCCATTTTCTCAGATCTTTCTGAGCTATGTTTGGCACAAGAATGAAGTGGGAAACCTGAGCAAAGAGAGCTTTGTGCCTCCCATATTCTAGAGCCTTCTCTGACGCATGGTTGGTCTCCAGTGCAAGTTAGAGCAACCTCTAGGCTGTTTAGCTGCAACAACCCCTTAGGGAACCATTCTGCTGACAAGATTAGTCAGAGCACAGCATGTGCCTCTGGCCAAGGTGCCTCCCTCCCCAACATGCCTCCTTACACCTTAGGCTGTGGGGGGACTAGCAGAGAGATATTCCACCAGCTCTGTATCACTAAGGGAGCCCCCTTACACTGAGGTTTCTCCAGAGTAGGGTGCAAATGTGAAAAATTGGATGTGGGGGGGTAAAAAGTGCCTATATAAGAAAAAGCCCCAAATATTGGAACTGTCTCAGAGGCTGCTTCCATGCAGTTTACAACCCTTTTACCTTTCCAGAGCAACATAAAAGAGCACAGGAACGTGGCCTATTAGGACTCTGGACTGAGGATAGCATATCTACATTAAATTCCTGGCTCTGCCATTCAGTTTCTGAATTACCCGGGGCAAGTCTCTTAACCTTGCTGTGGTTCAGTTCCCTCATTGTGGAAGTGAGGGAGCATGACTTACCTATCTTCCAAGAAGAAAAGGAGTACTTGTATCTTCCAAGGGTGTTGTTAAGTATTAATAGCAGCAGAGGGAGCTGCTAGCATGCAACACCCATAACTAAAGACACTTCCATTTTATAGCTATACTGTAGCTATAAAGAAATGATGGTGTATGGTCTGGGAAAGGTTTTATAGATGCAAGACTGGGATGACCACACTGTTTACAACTGATTCTGAGAAAAACTGCCAAGAGGAACTCTGTGTTTCTTCCTCAGTTTGAATCCTGGACTCTAAAATAAGTAGGACTTTTTGAAGAATAGCAGAGCTAGGGTACTTTCTATCCAGAATGAAAAAATGACCATATTCATATTATTCTACAGCTGGGCTTGAGAAACCAACAAAAGTTATATAATTGGCAGACCAATTAGATACCACCAATTATATTTTCCTTGGTACTGTATGTAAATAAAAACAGGAAAGCTGTATATTATGCTTTCACCTTATAGAATCAAATTTACTTATAATATTTCTTAGGTGTCCTATTGCCTTGGTATTTAACCATCTTGAGAGCAGTTGTCTACACTGGAAAAAACCCAATGGCACTGATTAGCACCACTGAAGGAGTACAGAGATTGAGCTACCTTCTCATCTCTAAGTCAGGGTTGAGTAGAGTTAACCTGTTTTATATTTTGAATTAAATCCCTCCCTTTTCCCTCCTCCCCACCTGACATCCAAGCAATTCCTACCCAACACAAAGCATATGATCAGATAAAAAGTATGTTGTGAGCAGGGGTGGTGAGTTATATGGGCCTGTGGTGCCTATGCTCCAGGAATATTCAGGGGCCCAGCTCCACCAATGTTCGGGGCCGGGTCACTCCCCCGGCCACGCCTGCCACCCCTGTATGCCTCCCTCGGAGCATCCGGGAGTGGTGCCTGCAGGGAGCGGAGCACGGAGACTCCCTGCCCCTCCCATCTAGGAGCCGCTGACAGAGGGGTGTACAGGTCACTTTCAGGAGCTGCCCGAGGTAAGCCCTCACCCTCTCACACCCTAACCCCCTGCCCCAGCCCAGAGCCCACACCCACACTTCCTCCCAGAGCCTGCCTCCTGCACCTCAACCCCTTGCCCCAGCCCAGAGCCCACACCCAAACTACTTCCCAGAGCCTGAACCCCCTTCTGCATCCAAACTCCCTCCCACCCCTCACTCCTCCTGAACTCCAACCCCCTGCCCCAGCCCAGAGCCCGCACCCAGCATCCAAACTCCCTCCCAGAGCCTGCACTGCTCCCACACCCAAACTCCCTCCCAAAGCCTTAGGTATGTATGGAGGCGGGGACTTGAACCCCTTCTGGGCACCACCAAAATTACACAAACCTGCCGCCCCTGGTTGTGAGATGCATAAATGGCTTATCTGGCACCAAGCATCAAACATAGGTGGCATGTGATGTCCCCTAAAAAAACCCAACCAAACAAAAAAGCTGTCCCATTTCTTATACACTTCTTTGAAAAACAAGCCCTCACTTTAAGGTGTTTTGGCAGAATAGGGAAAAGGGATGCTGGCATGCCAGTGCTCCCTCCTAGCCTAAACAGGCTTTATTTACACTGGTGCAGTTGACCCCAGAGCAGCCTGCACCGGTACAAACCTTGTCAACGCCATGAGTTTGTTCCAGAAACTAAAATCCCAGCGTGTGAGCTCTTCAGGACAGAGCCATCAGCTGAGATTTTTAAAAGTGACTAGCGACTTGGGGTGCCCAACTTGATCCGCCTCCATAGAGCCCATCCCCTGAGCAGCGGCTCTCACGTGTTTCAGAGGAACAGCCGTGTTAGTCTGTATTCGCAAAAAGAAAAGGAGTACTTGTGGCACCTTAGAGACTAACCAATTTATTTGAGCATGAGCTTTCGTGAGCTACAGCTCACTTCATCAGATGTATACCGTGGAAACTGCAGCAGACTTTATATACACACAGAGAATATGAAACAATACCTCCTCCCACCCCACTGTCCTGCTGGTAATAGCTTATCTAAAGTGATCAACAGGTGGGCCATTTCCAGCACAAATCCAGGTTTTCTCACCCTCCACCCCCCCACACAAATTCACTCTCCTGCTGGTGCTAGCCCATCCAAAGTGACAACTCTTTACATACAACTCTCACGTGGGCGCCCACCGTCTCCAACAACCACCGCTGGCAAGCTTGGCCGGCGGCCTCTTGCGAACGGGAGGCGTTCGGGACGAGGCACGGTGCCGCGGGCGGTCGAACCACGGAGAAGGCGCCTTTACGCTCTGGGTGCTCGCCGCCCCTCCTCCAGCCGCGTGCGGCAGCGCCCTGGGGGCCGGGCGGGCTGCAGGGCCGGGGGCCGGGGTCGCTCCGCAGCCCCGGGTCCCCGGCAGCAGGGCGCGGCGCGGCGCTGGGGGATTGTGGGGATTGTAGTAGGGAGGCGCCGCTCTCCGGGCTCTCTCTGGGCGGGACTTCGCTTCCCGGCGGCCGCAGGCAAGCGGGCGGGGCGAGTCGGGCATAGCTGCGGAGCGGCCGGCGGCGGCCCCGAGCAGCCGCCTCCGCGGGAAGCCCCCGGCGCGGGGCGAGGCGGGGAAGCGGCCGGCGGCCAATGCGAAATTGGCTGGTGCTGCTGTGCCCGTGCGCGGTCGGGGTCGCGCTGCACCTCTGGCTGCTGCTCGGCGGCCCCGGGAGGCACCCGGCAGGTAGGCAGCCGGGGGCAGGGCGCACGCACGCCTCGTTTGGAGCGGGAGGCGGTGGGGTGCTGCCACTCCCCACCCAAGGCGGGCCGGGGGTGGTTCAGGGTGCAGGCACCCTCCCCTGAGGGGGAGCGCTGGGCAGGAGGGGACAGAGGTGCATGCCCGGTGGGAATGCGGGGTTCACGCTTCCCTCCCATAGCATGTGTCCCTCTTAAGCCTTTCCCAGTTTTCTCAAAGAAAGAGCGTCCAGGGGGTGTTGTAAGGGCCGCAAAGCACAGAGGTGGGCTGCTAGCAGCAGACCTGCCCAAATGGTATCGGGGGGTCTTGCAAATACATCATTGGAGGAGTGATGTGGGAAATTGAAAAATAAATGTACTGCATAGTATTTGGCCATCTATAGAGCTGATCACAAATAATTAGGTCAATTAAAATAAGTGATAAAATCCATTGGTTAGATTATATACAAGAAATAAATTGACCAACTCTTCTTATTCCCCTGAGTTTAGAGAACTAGCAATGAGGCCTCTCTCCTGTAAACCCTTAAGCATGTGTCAGGTTTCAGAGTAGCAGCCTGTTAGTCTGTATCCGCAAAAAGAAAAGGAGTACTTGTGGCACCTTAGAGACTAACAAATTTATTTGAGCTGTAGCTCACAAAAGCTTATGCTCAAATAAATTCGTGCCACAAGTACTCCTTTTCTTTTTAAGCATGTGTGTAATTTGAATTTGGGAAGTAGTTCTATTAATACAAACACATTGCATTAGAGATCACAATTTTTTCCCTTTTAGGGCAGGGTTGGATATTGTATAACTCTTTAACTGATTGAGTGAAGAAGCACATGCTGGGCACACAGTTGTTCAGGCATTTCTGTGGTTGAAAAATTCCAAGCAGCCTGCATGAAAATATTTGATATATAGATTTAGTGTGGAGCCAGTAGAATGCTTTTTGTTATTAGATAACCTACAGAGGAAAAGTGCATGAAAAGCTAATGTGGGTTTATAGGAAAACAATGAAGAATTATGTAGGACAAGAGAACAATTTTGTGCCTGTATTGTTATACTGGAGCTACTTCATTACAATTCAGCAAAGTGATTACTGGCAGTACAGTGGAACTTTCTTCATTGAGAGTCATCTGTTTTTTCGTAGATCAACTTAGTTATGAGCCCAATTCTGCTCCCATTCAAGTCACTGACAAAATTCCTCTTGACTTCAGTTGTGTAGGACAAGGTTCTATAATATGAATTGCCATTTGGACTTTGCTGTGTAATCAAAACCAGTAAGGATTTGCATTGCCCTTACTATAAAGTGGTTCATACTAAATCAAGGTGAGTGTAAGTGGATTTCACTTTATGTTAATACCTATTGGTCAGAATAGGCACTCTCATCAACTAATGAGATTACTCCATTGGTGGTGATTGTTAGAAGTAGATGACCATAAATAACTTTCCATGCTACCTGTCAGTGGGTTTCTGAAACTTTGCTATGGAGTTTTTTTAATTTGTTGGAAATGTTCTGTTTTGAAAAGAGACTAAGTAAAAGTGGTGTTTTATTACTTAGGAGATCTGCTTGGAGCCATGTATTTGGAGTCATGATAGCTAATTTTATTTTATTAACAAAAATATGTTTTTACTAGTACTGACTCCTATTAGCTGGGCAGAATCTACACAGCTAAGAAAGAATGAGATGGAGTCTGTTCTTTCTTAGGCATTTTTCTGTAGAATTGTTCACTAAATTCAACAGTCAATTAGTAACACCTGTCTAACAGATGTAAAGTCACTACGGTCATAGATATGTCAATGGGGGCCTGTTCTGGTGTGTGGAACCTGAATGATGGTGATGCGTGAGCAGGAAAAAATCCAGCTTGGTTTTCCAGATCCTAGGTTGAACTTGCAGGACTGTCTGTCAGAAAAAAATCTTTTTATTTGATCTGGAGTCATGGAGAGGCTGTAAACAGGGAACCCCTTGATGCCTTTTTTATAGTCACTTTTCAGCATTGCTCTCCAAATGTAAACGTTTCCAAAAGATGATCTAGAAGTGTCCTGGTAGAGAGAGAGAAATGCTTTTTGTGGGTTGTTGAAGAATATTTTAAACATGAGGGTAAGGATAAGCTGTTTATAGTTCCATACCGTGTTGCTGGGCCATTTATACTTCTACTGCTCTACTTTTTTCACAAGTTGTAGTAAAACTAATAATTTGTATTGAATGCTTATTAGATTGTTACAAGTTTGCTGACTTCCCTGAGGAAGTGATCCAGCAAGAGAAAGATATTCCTTTCCACTTCCTGCACCTCATATTTCTGGTGCTGACTTGTATCCTTTGGGGAAAAAAGACCAACCTCTCCCCAGGAAGGGCAGAGTCACAGTTTCAGAAATGCAGTGTTAGGGTAAATGATACAGTATTCGTATGTGACTGTTTTGTTTCCATGCTGTGGATTTCCATTTCCATCAGTTGTTACTCTTTCCAGGACAAACCCTAGTTCCTTTCAAGCCAATAGCAAAATTCTCATTCACTTCAGTAGGACCAATATTTGGCCCTAAGTGTCATACTGATGATGATTTTGATGTTAATGTATTGCTATTTGGGGAGCCTCAGTCCTGCAGACACTTCTATTACTATTCTTTATGCTCACCATAGCAAGTAGTCCATGTGACTGACTACTCGCACTGTGTCAAATAGTAGGTGCTAGCAGGATCAGGCCTTTAGTAGTCAAGCAAATGCACAATATTCTCTCTTTCCAGATTTTATTCTGAATTGTGCAGGGCTTGTTTAACAGTAACATATAGAATAAAGCAATGAACCTGAGCAAAGAAAAACACAGGAAATTTCCCCTGATATTAAGTGTAAAAATGAAATCTTTCAGTATATGGAATAGTTTCCTAGAGAAAGCACTTTGGAGCACTCTTGCAAAGAAAGTGAAAGGATCATGCACTTAATAGACCTTAAAAGCTTCTACAGACACATACACTATAGGAAACATTCCTGCATTGCCAGAGAGAGGAAAGATGAGCTAAGAGATTTCCTTCATCTATGATGTCTATTGTTCTGTAATTTTTGTTCTTCAAAGTGCTTTGTGAACATTAATAAAGTGGTGATAGGTTTATACCACAGAGTAGGAAATGGCCTTATTTTTTAAAACCGTTTTTGAAACTTGAATTATTAAGATGGTCTGGTACTGTTTGATAAAACCAGCCTTGTTACGTATTATTGATTAGTGAAGGGTTTTTGTTTTTATTTTGTGTGCCTACTGCTCCTTTGCCTTACCACCTGGATTCTTTGGCATGAACAAAAATTGAATTGATTTCAAAAGTGTTTTATAGTAACTGGGGCATAAAAATGTGTTCTTGGTGTGTGTGTGTTGGCATTTAGTTAACCTTTGGCATCACAGCAGTCACATAATTAGCCACTAGCATGGGTCAAAGGTGGCATGAACAGTGATCAGTCACAACATACTGAGCCAAATTCACCCTAATGTTACTCCGTTGTGGTAAATAGATTTACACTGGGGATTATTTTGCCCTTTGAATGGAGGTTTCCTCGAGAGTTGAGCTGCATATTGTGTTAATTGTTGTTCACATTATTTTGGGGCTGGATAGCCTGCATGCATTTTGAAAGAAAGGAGAAATAGATCTGGAAGTCTAATTACAAAATGAGGGTTCGGCAGATGTGATGTGTCTGTACTTTTCTCTAACGCGGATTAATCTAATCCAGCATATCTTTATTGTATCTTATTTTATCCTGGAAGCATACCAGATAGTTGTAAAACTCTTCAACAAATATAGTTCTTTTTGAGGTATGTTTATTGAAGAGAAAACTAAAAAGTGAAGAGAAACTTCTGTAAAAAGAAAATAGCCCTGATTCATTATTAACTGCACAATGCCTAAATTAACTTGAGTAAAACATGAATCCGAAGACCCTGCAGTAAATATGTGATTTTACAATTTCCCGTTTTATTGGAGTCCTGAATTTAATGATTTCTCACTCTGCCGAGGCATTACCAGCCTGCGCTATGTGTTGGTAATGTCACTTATACTGCTTTGGGCAGGGGTAGGGCAAGGTGGTGTCTGCAAGTAGAGATAAGAGAAGCCCATTTTTAACCATTCAGAAACAGAAATAATCTAAGATTTCCTGTGTGTTCCTTTTTATGAGTTTCATAATATTTTATAAAATACATTATAAAATTGCGAAAGATAAAACAGCTTCTGAAAAGTTAATTACAACCTGCCCCTCCCCCCAATTTTCTTTAATCCCTACAGATGGACTCAGTGCTAAGCAAATGTTCAGTTGATGGCACCACTGGTAGAGGCTATGTCTAACAGAAGTTGCTTATTGAGGGACTTCAGTATCTCCTCAAGAAGGAAACACACATTAAATTTTGCAAGGTACACCTTTGCTGAAATGCCCTCTGAGACATTGTTCCACATAGGTTTATTTGGGCATTTGGCATCATTTAGAATTGGGCCCCTGTGTGTGTGTGTGTGTATAATGTCAATCTTTTACTGCCAAATAATTAAAAAAAAAAATACAGCACCGACTCTAGTTCCCACATATTGAACAGCACATGAATGCCATTGGCCATCATATGGCCTGGTTCAGCAGACTACTTAGCATGTGCCTAACTTTAGGCATTGACTTGAATGGAATTATGCACCTGCTTACTTAGGCTCATGCTGAATTAGTGCCACAGTGCGCATGGAGTATTCTCTGTGTGACGTATCGGAGGGAAAGAAAGTGAGTATGGCCTGTGTTTGGTTTTTTAGTGGAGTAAGAATTTGTTTAAAAACAAAATATACAAGCAACCTCTGAAGTTGTGAGCAAGACCACGTTCTGAAGGGAGAATGTCACTTCATAAAAGTGTGTTCCATTTTGGGTCTAAAGTACTTATTTGACAGGGTCATTTTAAGTTTTTCAAGCATCCTGTTCAGGCAAATGTTAGATTGCTCACTCTAAAACTCGATAATTTGTGGAGTGATTTTTTTTCATCTGCTTCTGAGGGCAGCAGGCTGACAGC